CCTTTTTTTCCCCAAATTTTAGGTAAATTTTTTTCATAATACAAAAGGTGGTAGTCATTACTGGCAATAAATGAGTGTTTGTAAGTCAAGTATGGACTGAATAGCCTTGTAGGTATATACTAAGTCATTAGAGAGAAGGCAACTATAGCTTTCCAAATACAAAATTCTCGGCACCATCAAAGGCACCCTGGGACTCCAGATTTTCCCTTCTTCCTTTGGTGGAAACTTGACCTTTACTTTCAAGAGAGAGCTATAATGAATTTTTCAAATATTAAACTAAGAAAGTCACTTAAACTCCTGAACACCCAGATACATTCCTCCTGTCCTTTCCAACACTTGGCCAGAGGACTTTCCTCCCTTTGCTCAGACTTTATGTAACTTATTAATTTTATAATTCAAGCCTTGAATTAAAATATATATTGAATGAGAATATCTACATATCTATATCTCTATATAAATAAATATTATACATGATGTTTTAAGGGATTTCAAGTGAAATAGGCATTAATTTAGGATTTCCTAACATCAAAAAAATGAGGCTTGCAAAAAAAGGAAAAGGAACTGTAGATACATTTTGAACTTTCTATTAGGTATGGTGAACAGCAGAGGATTTCAATCATCATCAGATTTTTTTTTTTCAGGAATAATCCAAGTATACAAAGTGGAGGAAATAATGACAGCATATTTTTTACTCTTGGAAATCATGCTGCCTGATCTGGCACTATGAAGCCTAATCAACTATCTTAATAGACCTTTAAAAGCAACATGATTTAATCCGATCACATCAGGTGCCATAATTGGAAACCAAAGGCATATGATCCTTTTCTTATATTTTTCTTTACATGATAGGATTCTTTTTTTTAAGAGAGAGCAAGAGAGATAGAACAGTAGAGAGAGAGAGAGAATTTTTATTATGTATTTTTTAGTTTTTGGTGGACACAACATCTTTGTTTATATGTGGTACTGAGGATCGAACCCGGGCCGCACGCATGCCAGGTGAGTGGGTTACCGCTTGAGCCACATCCCCAGCCCCTACATGATAGGATCCTTGCAGGGTAAGTTGCTGTGAACATGTAAGACCAGAATGGTTTCAGAAAAAAAGAAATAGAGAAAAGAGTACATCTTCTTTGCTAGAGCACCTGCAAACATGAGCTCATAAGACATTGGCTTCATGTCTATCAAAACAACCCCCCAAAAGGCAGGCATAAAGGGAAAAAAATAGCTGCAGGTATCAATCATGTGTTGCACAGTGCATCCAACAGTAGACTGCTGAGAGAATTGTTCTCACCCAGGACACTTGACCTATCAAGTTCCAAAGGTGGAGGCCAGAGGCCGAACTCCAAGAATGTTTCAAGTTCCTTTTGACTGCTCCCAGGCAGAAGTACCACACTGTAGCTTGAGCAATGAGAAGCACATCTTGTGACCAGAGAACCACGCCTAGAACCATCCTCATCCTAAGCACATTCTTCTGAGGACCGTCTCAGATAACTCCTATCACATTTTTAGTCAGCCTCTCTCACACACAAAGCCTCTCGCCCAGGAGATTTCTGTCAATGGTCAGGATGTGGCCTTTCCTTTTTTACCTGGATGGTGTTCTACAGCTACTTTTCCCTTCAGTTGCATCAACTTTTACATTCTATTCCTTGTTCTCAAGTTCTAAGACTTCTCAGACTCAGATTCATAGAGATGATTTTTGGTCTCTTTGGGAAGATATATTTCTGCAAGCATCATGCCATTTACAAAGCATATGGCAGAAGGGAACTTTAGATAAGGACGGCAACTGAAATTGCATTAAGTTTCGCTTTGGCAAGGACATCAGATGGATGCCTTTAAGATGAAATGGGTCTCCTCCAGCCTTTTCTTTTCTGCATGTCTCCAACAGGTGTTTCCTGTAAGGCATATGTCTGTTTTCCATAACATCAGAATGAAGAAAGATGTCTGTGACAGCTTGTGTACATAGATCATGTTTTCTTTATGATAGAATAGTGTACAGTGATTGATTTGCTCTTCCAAGTCAAGTTAGAGTGTTCTTGGGACATCATCTTCCATTTTCAAAATGGGCGTTTAATTACCAGACCAAGGACTCTTCATCATAGGAGTAGGGGGAGGGTGGAGATGAAAAGAAATGGAAAAAAAAGCTAAAGAAAGTAACAAGAAGGAAAGTAGTATTATTCCCCGTGAACTCAAATGGAAAGAGTAGAGAAAAAGGAAGCCCTTTCAATGAAGATAAAATAGAAATTTCCAAAATGTTTTCAAACTTAGGAACATTATGTAAACACATCTTTTCAGAAATCTGAGGGATAGTGTCTAAGAAGTTACTTGTGGAGAGAAAAAGGTTCTGTTGAGTAAGTAATTCAGCCAGTTCTCCAAATCCTGTTAAAAAAAATCAAAACCAGGTCTTAAGTGTGTTTCCTTGTGAGACTCTTTCACAAGGTCAGCATAAAGCCACCACCATGGTTCTGTCTAGTACCATTCAGAGAGCCATAGGAGTTAAAATTCAGTACTGGGGTGCCGCAGTCTGGCTGGGCACAATTCAGGAGCCACTTGTCAAAAGAAACTAACTTTATTTTTAGAACTACAAACGCCAAACAAAACAGCTCCTCAGGAAAAA